GGATAACCTGGACATTTCTAAGTTATTTGCATTTGTGAAAACACACAAAGAAGGCCAACAGTTTAGACTGGTTGTAGATAAGGCCAAGGTGCCTACTTGTAAATTGGAGAAATCGATCCATAACATACTTATGCCGCACTTAAGTGGCTACCTGTTTACCGTCTCTAATCCTGTTGAATTAATCAATCAGTTGAAATTGATCACCTCCCTGGACTGCATTATGATTTTGGATTTTAAATCATTGTACCTTTCCATTAAGATACCAGTATGTTTTTGCACTCTTAGAGACTTCCTATTTGCATGAGTAAATGACACAGCACTCCACTAGAACGTGTTGGAATTGGCTCGCCTAATTTGTTATAGTTCTGTGTTTCAATTCAATGGGGTAACATATTCACAATTGAGAGGGGTCCTGATGGGCAGTCTGGTGTCTGGAGACTTGTGTGAGTTAGTGGTGAGACAACTCCAGTCTAGGATCCTTCCGAGATTCTTGCAGAACATCATGATATACAGAAGATATGTAGATGATGATGTTATTGTATGGAAAACAACATCAAGCTTGGCACGATTTGTTGAAGCGATGAATGATAATCCATATGGGGTGTCACTCAAAGTGGATCAATACAGCGACACTAATGTCCATTTCTTAGATGTTGATATCAGGATTCAAGGACCCAACATCCACACTACCATCTATCGTAAACCATGTGCAAGCCCCACATACATACTGAGTGACTCTTGTGATCTGTTTCAATACAAATTGGCCGCTTTTAGATCATTGGTTAGAAGAGCATATTCTCATTCATCTACACAAGAGGCACTTAGGGAAGAGTTAACATGCATTGAGAAGATTGCCGATATACATAGCTACCACAATCTTATTCCAAGAATCTCAGAACACCACAAAATAGCAATAATGTCTCACAACACCTCTATGACGACACTGAGTGACAACCACAGTATTGATGTTGAAAGGATTTCGCTTACATTCAACCCTATCTTGAGATCTGTATATACAGCTATAACCAATGATGTAATGTCAGCATTGCTTACAAGAGAGGCCCAACTATGTTTGACATGTTATGTAATGAAAAGGACCCATCTGACCCGATTAAATTGCCGGGCATCTATCGGATTCCTATTAGGGATGAAAGATTCAATAGGGATTTGATCTACATAGAATCTACGGAACGCTTGATGGGGGTAAGAATAAGAGAACACAAATCAGACATACGATATAATAGAGCCACCATATCACTCAGTATATGCTTCTGACCTGGATATTACTGTTGACTTCGCAGGGGCAGTGTTAATAGTTAAAATGACACAGATGGACCACCTCAAATGGCTAGAGGCTAGAGAGTTATATAAGGTGCACACTTCATCTGAATGAATTAATTCCCGGGAGGAAATGGCTCTTTTGTTGGCTTGGCAGGCCATATTGCATAGTGATTTATAAGGATTGATTTAATATTGGATGATGCGCAGGGACACGTAATGTCAAATGTAAGAATATTGCATTGTATGAAAAAAGAAAATACACGCGGATTAGAAGATTTAATGCAAATCTGAACAGCGGAGAACATGACATGTACTGTACAACGCATGCGCGATGGACACTGGGCAATCGAACTATCATCGTTCGTTTTATTTTTTTTATTTTAAAATTTCATAACGGTGTTCCAGAATAAAAAATCCAGCTAGAATACCTGAGGAAGAACATGGAAGGTGTTCAGAAAACATTTGTACTTTAGAGTTTTACTGTTTCGCATCGGTTACAGGCTTAAGTGGAATTTTTATTATATAACCCAGTGTGCATGTAGGAGTTATAAGTAGTATTTTCATTTTTTTGTGACATGCATTGTAATTTGTCGACATATAAATATACACATCAAACGAAAACCTGGTATCTTAAGCAAATACACCTACAACTGCCGTAAATGATAGGGCTATATTTTGGATAAGTGGGAGTTGTGGGTTCGAGTCCCACATTGGGCCGATTCTTTTCTTCTAGGTTAATATAAATAAATTATTAAAATTAATAATTATAACATTTAATTAAGAGATGGTGCCTAACGCCTTATTCTAGTGTCAAATTCATTTCTAATCTATAATCATATATCCAAAATATAGCTCGATCATTTACGGCAGTTGTAGGTGAATTTATCAACAACTTTTGTCCGAAAATTTGCAAAAAAGTGACATGAAATTTCACACTTTAGACAAATGCAATAGTTTCTTGTACAATGGATTATTTTTGTACATTTCAGAATTACTTCAAAAATGCTTTAATACAATAGCACCTCCTTATAATGCATTTGTCGGGAGACAAAGATAAAGCATGATATATCCGGCAGTGTGATATAACCAAGTACTAAAAATTCTGGGCTTTTACCAAATATTATATATATGTAATAGAACATCAAACCATATAAAATTAGAGTAAAAGTTCTCTACAAAACAAAATAAAGTTAATACTGTTTAAAAATTTTAGAACTTTATGTTCAGAAATAAAGATAACTTTTTCTTACACATTATGCATGAAATTTTGAATTCACATAAACTTGTAAATGAGGAGACAGTATTTAAAACCAATAAGCAACTTAACATCAAAAGGAAATATAAATTATAATTAACCTGTCCACCTGTTTCGCTTATTTAGATTTTGACGAATTTATTGTTTCACCTGCAGTAGTATTTTCAAGGACAATGATAGGAATAAAATATTGTATTTCGTTGCAAAAAGAAATTTAATGCCGATTAATATTTTGAAAGTTATTGACTGAAGTGCTTTTAATTTAAAATTTAGGGACTAAAAAAAGCATGATATAATCAAATTCATGATATAACAAAAGACAACTGTATATCTGTGGGTGGAAGGCGGATAGAGATGGCTGTACAATAATTTTAAGTGAAATTATTATTATATTGGTTTTAGTGAAATTAATCTTATTAAAACCCCAATATGCAATAGACTAGATGTAATAAATGTTAGCAATTTGATGAATATATCAATCAATGGTCCACCTCAAACTGAAATTGATTTCCAAGCTGCCTTTACTATATGGTGCCAGAAAAACAAACTTTTTCAATTGTGACCTTAATATGATTATGAATAAGTTATAGCATTTTTAATTCTGTACTGGCTGATATCAAAATAAAATCTACAATTTTTATTATGTTGAAAGCATTTTTTTACATTAATTTTTTGCTACAAAATTTCACATTTTGCTACAGTTCTCAAGACAACATTAGCAAAAAAACTACAGATTTGAAAAAGTGAGATCATTACTAATGCATTTTATAATTCTTCCAAAATTTAATTTAATAAATGTAAATATTTGCCTTTTCATCATATATCTTTCTATGATATAATTTAGATTATAGAATATATACTGGATGAATAGACAAAATTATTTAATATTTAATTATTAATACTGTATGTGTGTGGAATGATTGACATGCCACATAAAAATGGGAGACCAGCATCTCCGTTATCAGTGTGCTGGTTAAACTGTGATTAAAATATAAAATTAATCAGATCTAACAAACCTAGTTGCTAAACATTAAAGAAAACATTCTTTCCAGTACAATAAAATAATAACATTGTAATTTGACTGACTAAAAATCAGGAAGAGAATTTTTGTTTACAGGAAAGTAAAATAAGGAATGGCTTACTGACATTAGTAGTAGTAGTAGTAGTAGTAGTAGTAGTAGTAGTATTAGCATCTGTAGTTAGTCAGTGTGGGCTACACATAATCCATTCTCACTTTAAAAATAATACTTTCTCTTCAAATTTTACACAAAGGGGATGTCTGTGTAAGTTGAAATAATTTACAGCGAGTTTCTGAAATTTAATGTGTATTGTTTGGTTTTGAATCTAAATACAAGAAAATAAACATAAAAATGGCATTCTTTGGCATTCCATGAGTATTTTACATTATCAGAAAAAGTCAAAATGAAAAGATTAAACATATAATTGTGGTTTTTGTTGTAATGCTGACAGTTATACACTTTTAGAATAAAAACTTGTTTGTTTTTTAGTGCACCCTCTAGAGAAAAATGTATAACCTCACTTAAACTGGCATGTCGGCATTCCCCAGGGCAATCCAGCATGTTGGCTTTTACCATATGGAAATTTCTGATTTTATGGTCTCTCCAGATAGACCAACATGCTGGACAATCCACAAAAAATACAGATGATTACTGTATTGAAACTTTTCAAATACCCATATGTGAAGTCAGCAGGGAAGTTTTCTAAAGTTAATTTTGTCATGACATTATGCATGTTAAATGCCTGTGATAAAGATGAAAATAAAAAGTTGTAGAGATCAATGTAAATTAACTGCAGTCAAACTTGATTGAGATGTAGTGTGTGATATGACCTGGAATATCTCAGCTCAGAGATCAGCAAAATTTCAGATTCACCTCGATATTGGCCTTGCCTAGTTGTACAAATTTGCAAAAAATCATGTTTAATGGTCATGCAGTTGCTTTGAACTTCAATCACAGACAAAACACTTCTTGATTTATGAAGAGCTCTGCTCAATGAAAAGTAACAGTCAAAAATCATTGTCTCTAATTTATTGTCAACCTGTATATATGTAATTTATTGCCATTTTGAAATCAGTTTGAATCTAGATGTTACAATTCAAGCCTGCTATTATTTGGATAAGAGTATTATGTTTTTTGAATTATAAAATGGTTACCAAAATATTATATTAAAATGTTATTAAAACTACACTTTGTACACATTGTGTTCCAGCAAATATGTATTTGAATTAAATGAAAACGGAACTTTTTCTGTGTCTTTCAGGAATCTGCATCAAGCATTGATCATTACATATTATTTTCTGGAAAATAGTGTGCATGATATGTAGTGTTAATTTGTTTGTTTTCTAGCTGTTTTAAGACATATAAAATGTTATTTTTGATAGACACTCTACACAGAGACAAGTAAAAAAACTTACTGTTTCATAAATATTAATTTATTTTATTAGATATATGCAGAGTATGCAGATCGGAAGGTGCTCCTGACAGACCACTATATCATCCTTGTATTTGTACAGGAAGTATCAAGTATATTCATCAAGAATGGTAAGATTGCAATATATTCCTATTCCTACCAAGAATAATTTGCAGATTATCTGTAGATGTATGCTGTAAGAATTTGGTACAAAATTTGCATATTTTCAGTAGATTTATTCTGTAAATGTAGTTTACTTTCCTAAAAATTGTCATACTGCTAGTAAATTTGGAAATTTATTACAGATCAAATTCTGCTTGAATGCAGATATTTTTATCTGATTAGCAAAACTCTCATGAAAATGGAACTACTTTAATAAAGTAATAAAAATGAAAGCTTTTTTCAGTTATATTTTTATACTGTTTCCCCGAAAGAAATGTGCCATAGGAGCTTTGTGAAGTTTGTAGGGAAAGCATCAGGCAAGTGTGTAATGTATTAGTTATATAATGCGTTATTTTGTGTCTTCAAAACTTCCAAATAGAAATTACTTGCACAAAATTTGTGATCAAAACTTCCTCCTAGATTTTCATTTGCCACTTGGATAAAAATCGGACTAATTAGAAATAATTCATTTTAAATGCGAGTTGGGATGCATACAATAATCCTAACTGGTGTCAGGGATAGTTAAAGCAAAGATTTTGCTGATCTTCTTGCCTTTTTTTAAAAATTTTAATTATCCTGATTATAGTGAGCAGGATCTCGCATCTCCTGATTTCACATTTGGTCATCAGGACTGATGTTTTCCAAAAATTACAGAAAGAAAACATATATTTCTTTAAAGATAAGTTTAAAAATAAGATTAAAAAATGAATTAGAAAAAAGAGAAGGAAAGTAACAATGGAGCAAACTGGAAACTCAGTTAATGTAGGAGGATTAGGCAGCATAATATTACTTTTAGAACCATTTTTTGGAAGATCCAAGGGACCTTCCCAAAGAAAGTTGTTAGAATAACAACTTCCTTCGAAAATGTGGAGGATTTAGTTGATATCTCAGGATGGTCAAAAGTCCAAAAATTAAAAATAGCTTGTTTTAGACTTGTGTGAACTGCTTGAGATTATGCCAGGAAAGATAGGAGAATGAAAGAAATAGGCGACTACAAAGAGTTCAAAAGATTAATGTTAGAGCGGTTTGAGAGAGAACCATACACATTGTGATTACAAAGATTTTATGCATATATTTAAGAAAAGACAAAGGATGTTCAAACATTTGCAGTTCATCTACAGACAGTGGCTTCTGAAATAGAAATAGAGCAAGTAGGCATAGACACAGCAGGAACAGCTATAATCAAGCAAGTAAAACAAAAGGAGTTGGTTGAAAGACTTTGGGTGCAGTTTCTAAATGGTTTGGATAGCAAAATTAGACAAAAAGTTATGTCACAAGAACCAACAACTTTTGACAAAGCAATCAAAATTGCTGTTAGCAAAGAAGCTATCGACCAATTAACAAATCCACCAACAATTGTCAAAAAAATAGATAATTGAGTGACAGAGATAAAGGAATTGAAAGAAACAATTTAAAAACTCCAGGATTAGTTGAATGATTTAAAACAAAGAATGACACGTTATCCACATCCACTTTATCCAAATGATAGAAATGCAAATTAGGTCTCCTAACTGCCTCTTTTATCAAAACAAAACATTTCATCAGAACAAACAACAAATGTTCACAACTAGATTTCCGAGAGATACACAGGTACAGGGACAACAAAACAGTTCGTATATGACACCTGATGTCAGACACATGTGAGATTGAGAATTTAAGGAAACCCCAAAAACTTGATTGGGTAAGCTTAATTTTTAGTCTTAGAACAAAAAGAAAACAACCCAAAGAGAAAGTATCGAATATCAACAATTAGTAGCAACAATGGGCTGAAAAATAATCAAGTGTCACATTGACTGGGACTTGGTAACGAATGGTGAAGGTTAATGTGTCAAGGAAGCAGACGGCTGCAGGTTGCAGAAAGCTAACCATATATGGACAGGACCTCTCCATATGTCGTCAATTTTATGTCATCAATGACTCATCTTTGACTGCATACCTGCAGATACATCGATAAACAGTCGATCACCTGATTTTTTTTTCCAAGCAAAGTCGATAAAAGGGTTGTGGACTACATCTAAAGGAACAACATCTAGGAAATATACGCCACCACTGTGCTGAGTTCCGACAGTCTCCATATCTGAGGCAGACCATAGCCAAGACACGCCATACAAGGACCGAAGACTCAAACTATTCGAAAGACATTGCCCATCATACCGTTTCTCCATGACTACTTTGCTAGATCAATGAATGGATTACTTGTAAACTCTCTCTCAAGATAAATTTGTAAACTCTCTCTCGAGCAAAAGTCTCACCACACGCATGATAAAGTTAGAAGCGCAGATAGTGTTTGTATACCTAGATTGGTCTATGTACTCAGCTAATGTATTTAATCCTTTTGCTTTATATAAAATTTATGTTATAGTCATTACCCTGTCTACCTTTCTATTCATCAGTAACCGAGACACCTATTGACTTACTCGTGACCTCCCCACTCAACAAAACACAAGACCATTTTACTTTTTGTCATCCAACAACCACATGAACGGTGGTTGTTTCCACCACCACTGATCCATTGCTGATTAAGTGGTCATTAGGGGACACCCCTTTGACCCCCGGTTCTCACACATATGTGACTGGAGGGTTGGCATTTTTTTGATGCCTCATCCTCGCGAGACTAACACCACTATGTCTCGTTTGACATTGAAGCTGTGACGTGACGGTGAGTTGATTTGGTTTTGAAAGTAGGTCACACGAGTGGATGCATATGTGAGCAATCAGATTCTGGATTAGACAGCAAGTTGAAAGTGACTCACTTGGGTTCCAGTTAAACAAACAAATAACATTTATTTGTAAAGAGAAAAAAAAGGATTCATGATACATACAACCGACCCCCTATAACACTGTTGATAAATCCGTTTTATATGAATTCCATGTGTACGAGTCACTTAGATTTTACAAATACATGTGTCAGGCTGTGAATGGCTCGCATATTTGTAAAATCTAAGTGACTCGTACAACATGGAATTCATATAAAACGGAATAATCAACAGTGTTATAAGGGGGTCGACTGTATTATACTAGTCCGGTTATGCCTATGCGGTACCGGAAATGTACGTTTTATATGTACCTAAATAAAAGATTGTGTGTGTGTATGTATTATACTAGGTCAAAATAACTATATACTGTAGGTGGTTGTGAGAGAGAGTATAGTGCATGGGGATAAATTGTAAAAAACCTTGTATAAAACTGGAGATCTGGTGTTTGCTGGTTAAGAAAGTTTGAAAATAGTTTTTGCAAAATAGGTCTTGTGGAAATAGTTTGTAACTTGTAGGTATAGTCACAGGTGAGAGGGATGAAATATTAGTAGCTGATGTATCCAGTGATATAATGCTAAGGGTTTCGACAGTAGCGCACGCACGATTAATCCACTCAAGGACTAGATGATGATTAAGTATTGAGGGATTGGCAACAACTTCTTGTGTCATGGAGAAATTGATGATGACCTTTACTTTTAGAAAAACTGGTACGACTGACCCATCTGGCTGCTAGTTGTCTTATTAAAATGATGAAATTTTGACAGCAGGTCAGAAGGTCGCAGGAAAGCATCTTTTTCGACACTGAGAACAGAAAGGAAGATATACTTCCAGGTGTGAAAGTTGACAGATACTCAACAACATTTTTATTATAAAGATGTTATGTTGTTTACTTTGAACTCTGGATTCTCACACATAACAGGAAGTGTCAGTTATATTCCAAAGCAACAATCAAAGTGTAAGGAGGTTTATTGAAAGGAAACTTGGAATAGAGATCAATCACCAGTAGTGATAAAGAGAATTGGAATGATGTTGGAAAGATTGAAAAAGTCACTCAGGCATGAGACAGGTCACTCAAATCCAAAGGAACAGAGTCAAAAAGAAAGACAAAAATACAAATGGAATAAAAGAATGGATACCACTGTGCAGTCAGATCATTGTACTCCTTTGCAGACTCATATTCATGAGAAAAGAAAATAAGGGAATTTGATAGCAACAGTGGAACAATGCAAGGACAACACTCCACGTGCATGGACCGAGACTAGACTTATTATTCCCACTTTAAGAGAAAGTTTTCACCATTATTCTTAACATGTCCCGAGATAAAAATAGCTCTTTCTTCTTTATATTTCCATCATTTTGTGGTGTTTGACCTACGTATTGATCTGCAGGGTGATCGCATGTAAGACGTGTATGTAACATTTCAGACTTAATAGAACTAGAAGTTTTTAAAATACATAAATGTGCATGATGATTCAGGTATATAAAGAGAAAGGATCAATGCTGGCAACAAAACTAGTGTTTGATAACAATGATTAACTGCTTTTCAGTATATTGTGGTTTTAGCAAAAACCAAAAATCAGTTTTCTGGTTTTGAACATGTAATGAAAGAACTGCTGACTATCCACAAATTGGTACTACTAGTCAAATTTTATACATGTGATGATGTATCTTCTCCTTACAACTCTTTTGTCCTTTTATAGGCTTGCATTACACTTTTGCCAAGCTTGAAACAAAAAAATTTGGTAAGTGTTTGTTGTTCCATTGCAAAACTGGAACATGTTCTCTTACTTGCCAGCTACTAATTTGGTATCCTGAAAGCTTTTACATTTTGGAAATGAGGCTTCACATGAGCTATTATGGCCATTCACTGATAAGTGACACAACTTAAATTTCCAGAAGAAATCAGTCTGAGAGCTTATCAGACACTGTATATAATGTGCATTTTTTGTTCATCCTACTTAGGTCACAATGTATGTTATTACCAATGAATTTTGTTAAGAAATAAATTATAATACAGAATTTTATTAATGATACAATTTTAACTTTATATATGTATTTAACTTCAATATCATTTATTCATAATAATTTATTATTTCAGTCTTCTTCAGTGGCTAAAATATAGTAGAAAAGAATATTGTGAACTTTGTAACCACAGATTTGCATTTACACCAAGTAAGTAAAATTTTTAAAATTAATGTTATTTTTCTACAAAAATTGATAATTGTTTAGAAAATATTGTGCTGTAAATGTTTTATGAAAGATTTTTAATTATTGAAACAAAATGTGAAATTGATTGGTTTTTAGGTTTTGTTATTGCACATTAATCTTTAATCTCTGTACAAAAGTTATTCCATGTAAACATCAATATTGTTGATCTTAAATGAAAAGGCATGAGTTGAGACTAAACTATTACATTAAAGTAGATACTTTAATGTAATAGTTTAATCTCAACTCATGCCTTTTTACTGTACAAGAACACATACTGTATAACCTAAAATATTAACATTAGAATTTGTTCAGATTTTAGTTTTTATTACTTCCAATTATCAAGTTTAAATTAAATTTCCGTTAACAAATATTTTCAAACAATACACAACGAATTGATGTCTTTACTGTTTAATTCTTCTATAGTCATTTATCATTTTTCCATATACAGTAGATCCCCCTATAAGACGGTAGATACGTTCCGTTCTTTATGAATCAATTTTGTAGGAATCATAGTTTACGGACTACGGCTGTTTGAAAGGTTTTCTTTCATAAAATTAATCGATTCTAGACTAATTCGACTCAACATTTCCAAAATACGTATATTTTTTTTAAAATAATCCGTATAAACTACGTTATAAACAAAAAATTGTAGGATTACTTACCGAGTGTGTACCCTTTGACTACGCTCGTTGCTAAAGCTTGGTTTCGTCGCGGAACAGCGCATCAAATTGCGGCCGCGATTTCTGATATTATTTTTCTGCGAAAACTTCGTTGACCTTTGGAGACATCATTAATATAAATAATTTTTATGGCCGTTAAATAAGAAATGTTTCTTTCACAAGAAATGTATAAAATTACAGTACTAAACAGACGATAGGTCGCCTAACTCGCCGTAGCGTGACGCTAGACGGCGAAAAATATATATTTAATTATAATAAAGTTACAATAAATTAAGTTAATATATAATTATATATACAGTACCTAATTTATATATAATTAATATATAATTATATGTACAGTACCTAATTTATATATAATTTATATAATACTGTCCAGACGATAGAAATCTCTCCGTAGCGTGGCGCTACGGACGGCGGGTAAGTAGTTCGGCTGCCCGATGACATTTTACGTATTATAGGAGTTATTTTTACCGTTGTTTACGGATAATGCCACAATTTTTATAGGAATCATAACTATAGGAAACGGTTTTATAGGGGGATCTACTGTATAGTCTTTAATTTACTTTTTTTTTAACATATTGTATGAAGTATAAAAATACATAAATATTTTGATAACCCAAGCATGCTTCTTTATGTATTGTATGAAAAATGTAAAAAATGCATGTTGGGGTTATCAAAATATTTTTGTATTTTCCAATGTGTAAAGATTTATTGTGTTTTGGTTTGTTTTAACTTAAAAAGTAAATTTCTTACATTTCTTAATCTCTATTTTCAATAGAGAGGTTGCGGCCGACGTTTACATCGTGAAAACGTGTACGTTGGACGTTCGGTGCCGCCTTCCTGTAAACCTAGAAGTTTGACAATAGCATTTGGTACGTCGAGCATGATTCCACCGACGTTCCAAACGTCATTGTCAAATTTATAGGCTTACAGGAAGGTGGCGCCGAACGTCCGACATACACGTTTTTGCAATGAAAACGTCAGCCGCAACCCCTCTAATATCTTTCAGGTTTTGGGTTTATTTATTAAATTTTATAAATTATTTAAATTGTTTAATTAAAATTTTTGTATTGAATATTTTAGGAAATTTTTTATTTTCAAAATATTGTGTGATAAATACAGGGGGCGCTTCTCACAGTGCTGGCTGTTGGCGTGTTTTTTTATGATCTACTGTTATGATCTACAAATTATCTGTTTGCCATTAATAGATTTATTGAGGATGTCTTTTTTTATTGTAATATCTTCTTTATTAATTTTGTTCTTGTTACTTATTATTGGAGGTGTCAAACTTAATCCAGGCCCAATGTCACATACTCCATCTTCTTCTCCTTGAAGTAAAGCTTCAACTTCTTTTCAGCTAGCAAATGTTGTCAATCTCCAAGCGAACCACATTGAAATCATCTTGTTTGGACAATTATTTTTCATTGCAAGATACTTTTCCTCAAATACCAAAGAAGATTTTGTGTTTTCTAGAGGCTCACTTCGGTACTATTCTATTGAAACTGAAAGAATTGTCATCAAAATTCGGCTGGCTGTCTAATTTACATAAGCAGTACGATGAACATTTAACTCAATTGGAAGGAGAAATTATCAAACTCTCATCATTTAAAACAGTATGTATAGATAATTTTTCTCATCAGAATTATAACAGAGAGGTTGCAGCTGAAATTTTTGTGAACGTCGAACGTTAAGCACCACTTACAAGATAGCGGCACTCGACATTCAACGTTCACGTTTGAGAGATGAAAACTTCGATCGCAACCTCTCTAATATTGACTCCATATATAATGACTTGAACAAAAATAACATAATTGTTTCTGGTTTGAGTGGGAACAACGAAGAATTAATTAATAAGGTTAATGTCTTTATTGATTTGTTTAAAAGATAGAACGGAGAGTCTATTTCCTATATTAATAGTTATTGAATAATGGGAACTCAGCTCGTATTGTTTGAACTTTATACTCAAGCTGATAAAAGACTTTTTAAAAATTTAAAGAAAATTCAGGAGTTGCTGTCTTACTTGTGCATTAGAGTCTTTTACATTTTGTCATATAGATCATAAAAAACTGCTGCCTTTTTTTGCGGAAGCTAAATCTCTGAGTAAAAAAGCATTTTTGAAAGCCAATTGCCTGATGGTTGATGGTGACAAATTCACTTTCTGTTTAGAAACAGAAAGTGAATTTGTCAGTTACAGTTGGCCTAAAAAATAAATCTGATAATACAGAATTTTGGAAGTAATTAATTCAGTCAAAATTTTCTTTTTGATTGAAACATGGTGTGACAATGACAATGTGGAATTGTTATTCTATAGTAAGTTCAAAACAGTAGTAATAAAAGCTTGCAGACAATGTGGAGTTGGCAGACCAAGTGGAGGCATTGTGATTGGTCTTAATAAAGAGATTTGTATACTGAAAGCTATTTTATATCAATCCCTTTGTGAGTTGCTAGAAATGCTTGCCTTACCTGAGTTGCACGGGTCTCTCAGACCCATCTTTTTATAATGAAATTATTAAATTTTATCTATCGCATAAAAAAACTACAACTTTTCCATTAAATTCTGCACTTTGTTTTCTATCTAGTAGTATAAATTACTTGTGTATTGACAAAATTGCAGAAAATTGATCAGATTTTTGTATTAAATACATTGGTAAAGGTAAAATTGCAGAAAAAAGAGGAAAACTGTATGCTGTTTTTGTGGACTTCAGGTCTGCCTTTGTTACTGTTAATCATAAAGTTTTGTGGTCTACATTGGAAAGAATGGACATTTATAAATAGTTTCTTGGTTTTACAATAGATATATACTGTAAAAAGTAAAGATACTAGCCAAAATGACTGATTCATTCGACATTAATATTGGAGTTTTGCAGGGTGAGATTCGGAGCCCACCACTTTTTAATTTGTACGTTAATGGCTTGATAGTGCGACCTAATAAATCTGACTTACCTGGGATTTCTCTCTGATCAAGTTTGAGTTACACGTATTGTAAAGATGTAAGAAGCTCAATTCAAGATACATCATCACAAGAAGAAGACGACCCATTCACCTTTTTAGAGATACAAATGTCTATCAATTCACTAGCGAAAAATAAATCTCCCGGATTGGACAACATCACGGCAGAGATGATTAAAGCTGCCTTTGAGGTAATTCCCATAGCCTTTGTGTATTTGTATAATTTATGCCTTAAAATAGGATACTTTCCCCATGTTTGGAAAAGAGCAAATATAAAATTAATTCCCAAAAAAGATAACGCTACCAATCCAGACGACTTTAGACCTATAAGTCTATTACCAGTATTAGGGAAAATCTTGGATGGCTTATTAATTAAAAGAATAAATTGGCATTTAAAAGTATCCAACAGAAGTAATATTAACCAATTTGGATTTAAACCTGGTACATCCACAATCCACGCAATTCTCAATGTTAAAGATTTTATACACAGAGCATGGGAGAAAGGAAAGCATGCGATGCTAATAAGTATCGACTTCAAAAAGGCATTCGATAATCTATGGTGGCCCAGCATCATAAATCGTCTTATTGATACAAAATGCCCGAATAATCTGATCAAATTAATGAGTAGCTACCTCCAAAATAGAACAGCTGGCTTTTACACGACAAACACCAATGTGGAAATAAAAATCTCAAAGGGCTGTCCACAGGGGTCCAGGTGTGGACCCGGACTGTGGAATTTAGTACTAGACGAACTTTTGGATCAATTTAACAACACAGATGAACTTTGTGTACAAGCCTACGCCGACGACACTTTATTAATGATTGCTCACCAAAACTGTGATAGAGTCGCTGATATAGCCAACAAAGCCCTTACAGAAATAGGAAACTGCTGCAACAAACATAAATTAACGATCAATTATAATAAGTGCGAAGCACTGGTCAATACAAGGAAAAACAAAAGAGGTCAACTTAAAAGATCGATTTGCGTAAAAATCAACGGACATAGTATAAAAAACGTACCTCAAATCAGATACTTAGGAGTTTACTTTGATAGAGCTCTCAACTGGCAATACCACGTTCATCACGTTTATAACAAAATTATTAAAAAGACTAATCAACTGATCAGTATTACTAGAAACACATGGGGCCTAGACTCAACTAAAACAAAGATTATATACAAACAAGCCTTTGAACCGGCACTTCTATACGGTGTACAGATTTGGAGAGAAGCCTTAAATAATACACATCTGAAAAGAAAACTTTTATCTGTACAAAGAAAATCAGCCATCCGTATTTGCAAATCTTACTGCACAGCTCCAACAAACGCGCTTCTTG